TTTTTTGTTTCCCCGCTGTGGCTAGGGACAAGCCCCCGCCTCGCAGTATGGGAGGCTTGGCCACCGAGCGCTTGCAGCCGGCAGGGGGGCCTCTGACCGCCTCCGCCTCAGCCCATGGGGGGCGTGCGGGTGCCCCCCTCTTCGGGGGCCCGCCGCCGCCCCTGAGCCAGTCAGTCTCAAGTCGGGCCGGTCCCTCTCTACAGGAGGGAGCTTCAAGCACAGTCAATGGCACCGGAGAATTGGGGCTACGGGGCTCTAGGGCTCTGGGGCTCTATGGCTATGAGGCTCTGGGGCTTTAGGGCTGTAGGGCTGCCGGGCACCCAGGCACCCGGGCACCCCCAGGCACCTCGGGGCACCCTGGGCCGGCCACCGAAAGCGGCGACGAGCCTCACCCGACCATATGAATCCGCTAGGACCCCTTCAGTGGCAAGCTCCGTTCGGGGGAAAAATAGTCAGGGGATGGGGTTTTCGATTATCTTTTTTGCCATTTTCGAACATCTTTGAATATTTTTCACGTTTCGTCCAACATCCCCCTGTAGGAGGACATGCCCGACCTGACGCCAGTCCCCTCTCCCCCTTCAGCCCAGACCCCCGACGCCCTGCAGGTTTTTCACGACGAGGGCCCCCAGCGGTCAGGACCCATTCCTTGAAGAAAAAAAACGGCATAAACGTAAACTTTTGGCGCTCCGCGCGGATTTCTTCGATCCGCGCTGGGGCCCCCTGGCGGCGCCTCCGTCGCCGCCCCTGGCGCGCTCCGCGCGCCAGGGGGGGCGTTCTAGCCCAGATCCAAGAAGTCCGCGCAACTCGCCAAAAGTCTAATTATGTTTAGGCCGTTTTTTCTCCTTCGAACTCCCTGGGGCTGGTTCCTCATCCCGAGTCGTTCTTGGACGGTGCCGAGGGCCCGCCGTCAGGGCCCCCCCCCCCAAAGGCGGAGCGTGGCGAAAAGCCTCCCGCCGTGTGATCTCTTCGCGACCCGACGGGGTCTTGGCCCGTCCGCTTGGACGCCCGAAATGGGCACGGATAGAATCGGTGCGATGCCCACCAGCACGTGTTGTCCACGAAGAGCTGGCAGCGGCCGCTGTTGGGCAGGCGGCCTCCTGTCTCGAGTGGACAGCGTCCGCGGCAGCCTCGACCGCGAACCGTTCAAAATGGGCAGGAACCTCCCGCCACGCCGCTTTTTGAGGACCCGACATCAAAGGCCGCTCCGGAGGCTCCAGGTCGCTCCCCAAAGCAGGAGTTGGAGGAAGAGGATGAGGAGGAGGAGGAGGAGAAGGAGGGGGAGGAGGAGGAGGAGGATGAGGGAGGAGGAGGAGGAGGAGGAGGAGGAGGAGGAGAGGTGAGGAGGAGGAGGAGGAGGAGGAGGAGGGAGGAGGAGGAGGAGGAGGAGGGAGGAGGAGGAGGAGGAGGAGGAGGAGGAGGAGGAGGGAGGAGGAGGAGGAGGAGAGAGGAGGAGAGGAGGAGGAGGAGGAGGAGGAGGCGGAGGAGGAGGAGGAGGAGGAGGAGGAGGAGGAAGGAGGAGGAGGAGGAGGAGGAGGAGAGGAGGAGGAGGAGGAGGAGGAGGAGGAGGAGGAGGCGACCATGTCGGTCTGGGAACGTTGCCCCTCAGAGGCGGGCGGGGCCGGGAGGCCCTACATCGGCCTGGAGGAGTGCCGCCGCTTGGCGGCCCAGGCCGGGGTCGGGTCGGCCGCGGGGGCGCCCGAGGACGCGGATGGGGCCCCTCCCAAGCACCGCTCCAGCGGGCTCGGGCCTCGAGCCCGAGCTCGGGCCTCGACCAGCTTCGTGCTCGGGCCTGGGCTCGAGCCTCGACTCGGGCTCGGGCTCTGGCTCGCCTCGGGTCCGGGCTCGAGCCCGAGCACGAGACCAGGCTCGGGCTCGGGCTCAGCCTCGGGATACCTCCAGGCGGAGCTCGAAGAGAGGAACTGCTGCACTCGCGCGCGCGACGGCCCCGAAGAGGCCCCGAGGGGGTAAGTCGGTCTGACATGTGGAGTCCCCGAGATCCGACGTTGCGACGAAAACGGCAGCGTCGCGAAAACTCACGACCAGAGCCCGAGATTTCATCTTCCTGCAGCAGTTTTTGAGCCGGATCGATCTGTGATGGCCGCGGGGCCCGAGACCGGGCGGAGACGCCCAGCGCGAACAAAATCCGACGCTGGGGTCTCGGGGGTCCTCTCCCCATAGATGGTCCCATGACAGGGCCCGTTTCGATTCCCCCGTTTCGATTCGATTCGATTTCGATGGCTTTCGATTCCAATTCCGATTCGATTCGACTTGGGATTCCGATTCGGACTCCGAGTTTTCATTGGAGGCATACTAGCCTGCCGATTTCCGCTGATTCGACTTCTCCCGACTCGGCTGCCGATTTCCGCCGATCGGATTCATTTCGATCGCCGATCCGTCTTGTCGATTCGATTCCGGGCTCGCCTGCCCAGAGACCGCCAGCAGGACCTGCAGGCCTTCCTCGGACTGTTCCACTCGCTGGGGCAGCTGCTCTACTTCCCGG